CACGTTTCTCTCTCTCAACCCCACACCCTCACCCACGTATCACCACATACCCAGAAACCAAAAAAACAATTGAAACCCTCTGCTAAATCCAGAAAAACAATTGAAACCCTCTACCATTAACGTCCAAAATCAAGGTTTTTTCTTCTACAACCAGTCAAAATTGAAGTCAAATCTTCAAAGTTTCATACACATCAATAACTTTTGATGGTTATGATTTCGGGTTCCTTCAGTAATATAAGAGGAAAGGAAAAGAGAGCAGCAATTCCACCATTTACAGCCATTAAAAAGTTTTGAAGCTTTGAATTCAAATTTGGGTTTTCAAAAATCATTATTTGTTTGGATTGGGTGTTGTTGTAAATAATTAAAAATATGGTTTGGAATTTATATCTCAATTTTGAGGGGTTTTGATGAAGATTAGACTTGATTTTGGCTGAATTTCAGATTGATTCGAAGAAGAAGAAGAAGAAGAAGAAGAAGAAGAAGAAGAAGAAGAAGAAGAAGAAGAAGAAGAAGAAGAAGAAGAAGAAGAAGAAGATGTATATTGCAGAAATTGCAGAAAAATTGTAGACTGTTGTTTATTTATTTTTCTTGAAGAAAAATTGCAGAAATATTTTTTTGGATTCCATATTTAGCATAGCATTTTCGTAAGGAGTAACAAGAGCATATAGGAGAATCACAGAATTGTAGCATAATCGTGATTTTTGACATAATTGCGTTTTTTGCAGAAGATTTGTAGAAGTTTTAGTCGTTTTTTATTTATGAAATTAGAAAACAAAGCATCTACAATCAGAATACAAATAATCTACAATTTATCGATAAAATATCTACAAACTAGGTACATTGAATTTTAATATCCCAATTCTCATTCAATTGTAGCATAATTGGGATTTTCGACATAATTGCGTTTTTTGCAGAAGATTTGTAGAAGTTTTAGTCGTTTTTGATTTGTGAAAACAGAAAACAAAGCATCTACAATCAGAATACAAATAATCTACAATTTATCGATAAAATATCTACAAACTGGATACATTGAATTTTAATATCCCAATTCTCATTCAATTGTAGCATAATTGGGATTTTCGACATAATTGCGTTTTTTGGCAAAAGATTTGTAGAAGTTTTAGTCGTTTTTGATTTGTGAAAACAGAAAACAAAGCATCTACAATCAGAATACAAATAATCTACAATTTATCTACAAAATATCTACAAACTGGATACATTGAATTTTAATATCCCAATTCTCATTCAATTGTAGCATAATTGGGATTTTTGACATAATTGCGTTTTTTCAGAAGATTTGTAGAAGTTTTAGTCATTTTTTTATTTGTGAAAACAGAAAATAAAGCATCTACAATCAGAATACAAATAATCTACAATTTATCTACAAAATATCTACAAACTGGGTACATATTTGGACTCAACATGCTTCCCCTGAAATGTATGTTTCACATTTTTTATATATATTTTTGTCCAAAACAGTACTAAATCATCCACTTAAATACAATTTTTATACAATGTTGTTCAACTTTCATACAATAGGTAAATGAATAAAAGAAAACTAAATGTCTACAATTTTTCTTCAAATTTTCTACAATTTCTGCAATATACGTCTTCTTCTTCTTCTTCGAGTTTCAATCTGAAATTCAGTCAAAACCAAGTCTAATCTTCACCAAAACCCCTCAAAATTGAGATATAAACTCCAAATCATATTCCCAATTATTTTCAACAATACCCGATCCAAACAAATAATGATTTTTGAAAACCCAAATTTGAATTCAAAGCTTTCAAGCTTTTTAATGGCTGTCAATGGTGGAATTGCTGCTCTCTTTTTCTTTGCTTTGTATTACTAAAATTTGGACATAATTGCATTTGATGTAGAAAAATTGTAGAAGATTTAGTCGTTTTTGATTTGTGAATTGTAGAAGAATAATCAATTCGTTTTTGAATTGTAGAAGAATAACCAATTTGTTTTTGAATTGTAAAAGAATAATTGCGTTTGATGTAGAGACGCTAAATTTGAAACGAAACTGACGAAGAAGATTAATGTGCGTGATTTTCGTTTGGAAGATCTGGAAGAATATTTAATCCCCCAATTTTAGCGCACCTAAATAAGGAAGCCTATAGCTACAATGATTCCTTATTTAATGCATGATCTATATTTTGTAGAAATACTATTAGCATGAAGGGTAATATGCAAACTATGAACATATTTGGTAATATAGTTTCCTATATAGTATAGGAATGAAAATTTCCCAAAAAAAAAAGACATAAGTAGATATAATTTTTTTATGGGTTGAGTTAGGTAGTAACTCAAACGTGATTTGTTTCAATTGATTTAGACATGAGAATACCCATGAATAGTTGGAATCGTTATTCTGAAATAGGCTAAGCAGCAAATAAGGCGAATCATATCAGATTTATATTTTTAATAATTTGAGTATATAGTCTAAATGCTAACTTAATCTATTGTGCTTCTGTAAAATCATCAAGAGGATATTGGATGTAAATTATTCTTTACTATTTCCTATGAGTTCTCAATATACTTATAAATGAAGTTGAAGAAAACTTTGAGATTAGAAAAGCGATTTTGTGATAGATAATGAACTAGTTGAATTACTCATAGCCTGGGTAAAAGAATAAAAGAAAAAAAATTATTTGATGAATTGAGAGTCAAAATGAAACCCCGAGAGCTGGATATCCTAAATAAATTATGGATTATCTTAAACAAGAAAATTAACACGATGACGATATGATGTGATTATAAATTGATTGAAGGAAGCCATAGGAATTGCTCGAGGTGACGAGTTTGATATTTCGACGCGAGTATTATGAGTAGTAACCTTACCGTAATTTGTGCTTCCATAACTGCATGATTTACACATAAATTATAATATGAATATGTTACCAATTATTATGAATTTGCACGTGGGACAAGTCCTTTACTTGAAATGACATCGAAATATTTATTTGAAATGATTACTCTTATTTTGAATATTCTCATTATTACTAGACATGTTTTAGTGTTACCTGAGATAGATTTATTGTTATCGAAATGAAATTTTATGATTTAATAAGAACTAAAATGCCTTGTATTATTTTAAAAATATTTTGAAAGAAGTATTTATTGATTATAAAGACAAGTATAAATGGGAGGAGACTTTGAAGGATCTCGTAGCTAACGGTGGGTTCGTTAGACCCGATGCACCTTGTAACTATCAATTACCGTTACAGCCCTCGCTATTGGAAAGGTAGAACTACCATAACGTTGCTGATTTTCCTCGAGTAAGGACTATCATTATATTTGACTTCTTGCGAAGAGGTTCATAATTATTCGATTACATGATCCGTTCATTGAGACCTCGCAAACATGAATATTTGATATCAAACAGCATTTACCGAGTTTATTACCAAATTGTTAATTGATTTATATTACATGAAATATATGACGAGATTGATTATTGTTTATTATTTCTGAAAAGGAATTTCTATGATATTTTCTGTTTAATACACTAGCATGTTTTCTGACTTGTTCTCCAACAGTTAAGTGTTATCACTCACTGAACTAGCGACTCACTCCATGCTATTTTTTTTTACAAAGACAGCAGCTAGCGCAGGTGAGGATCTCGTCAATTAGAGCGCTTGAGTTGATAGTTTTTGGTGAGCCTCGTATTTGTTCTCATGGGCAAAGAGTTTAATTAATGGTTATGATCTTTTTTATGAACTCTTAGAGTCGCTCCATAGTCATTTTCTTAGTGTCATGAGTATTCTTTCGTTGTTATAGACTTGAGATAAGTATTTTACTTTCTTATCGAATTTGGAGATGGATTTAGTATTTCTGATCGTTGGTGGGTGGATTATATAGTTGAGACTTATTTTGATTAATTGATAATGTTATTGCCGGTTGAATTGATATTAGAATGTTCTTATGTTGATCTTTAAGACAGGGTAAACTTTTGGATAGTCCTAAAAAAGGGAAAACTCTGTTTGTTTTTCTGCAAAATATCGATGAGGCTTAATTGAGAGCACTTGCTCCAAAGTGGCTGTCATGATCCTAAGTTGGGTCGTAACGAGTACTCCTACTCCTGTTGATGACTTCATTCATGTAAATGAAACACATGTCTATCATGATTTTAATGTTAATTATCAATCGTTATATCACGAAACATTACAACCACAGTATAATGATTGTGATAACTTGAGAGAGGATAAAGAGAACTTAGATGAAATACCTACTAGTCCTGCTCCTGCAGCTCCAACTCAGACTCAATCTCAGTTTGGAGCCAATGTTCCGTTATCTCTCACTAGACAATCAGTTGAACGTAAAAAAAGATCAAATTTTTGACAATGGTTTATGAAGGATAAGGCTAATGAAAAAGATATTTGTAAGCTTCCGAAAGCGCTTTCAGTGTAGCACGATTTCAACTTGGAGACTACAAACGCTCATTGGCAGAAGACACCTTGGAGACTACTTCTTTATTCGGAGATTGGATTAAAATGGAGAGAAGAAACTTTGGCATTCCAGAATAATTCAAGAGACGACGATGCATATAATGAAATACTATCTACCGGAGATGGAGGGGACACAGAAGAACAAATGCTACCAATTCCAAGCGAATAACCACGAAAAATTATTGAACAATTACGTAAATCGTATAAAAGATTTATATAATTTTTTTTACAATTGTTAAAATACAAATAAATATTTGTAACTTGTATTATAAATCTAATAATTACATTGCATTAAATAAAATAAAAAGCACTTCAAAGCCGTGAATTTTTTTCATTCATTAAAGTTTATTTGTATTTAAAATTTCAAATATAATATTTTTTAAATTTTAGTTTAAGAATACCCCTAACTACTTTTAACGTTCCCTTGAGTACCACCCTCCCCTCCTTAGATCAGTAGGGGTACATGTAGGGTACCTATAAAAGTATCCTTACACTGTACCCTTAAATCTCCTTAAGAAATCCCCCCTACCGGTGCCCCCCCCCCCTTCCACGCACCCAGTCCCTTCCCTTTGACAGCCTTATCCTAAGACCTAAATGAAATTATTTATAGTCATACAAATATCTATATGTCCCCTCCGTTTTAATTTATGCGAACCGATTTGATTGAGTATGGAGTTAAGAAAAAAGAGAAAAATTTTGAATTTGATGGTTAAAAATGAGGCACATATTTGTGTGGCTATAAATCATTGCAACAACAACAGGAAGCCCTAGGCCAAACAAGTATTTTACAGAGAGCCGACAAAAAATTCCATTAATAACTGGTCATTTTGATCCTTTGGAACAACTCTGTTGTTTTTGAAAAAAATAAAAAAGAAACAAGTTCACATAAATTGAAAAGAAGGGGGTATTATTTTAAACAATAATTTTGAAGTCTTCTTTTTTTTTTTCCTTGAACTCCATGCCCTATCAAAATAAGTTCAAACAAATTGAAACGGAGGAAGTATAACTTAATATAATTATAAGTAAATCTAAATTAAGCATGAATTAATAATTCCATAAAAACTGTAACTCACCAACTATATATCACATGTTAAAGTACACTAATAGCATAAAAACGTTTTCATATAATCAGTGTACATAACTTACATCCTTTTAAATTGGGATAATCCATAAAATCCACTCCATCCTATGACCCATTTACCAACTACACACCTTTCCTTTTCGGGGGTCCTATTACCCCCCTGAACTTCTTTTTACCGTAATTTATTTGTCATTATTTGATCAATTAAACCCGACCCCCATCTATAAGACTATTCGTGTATACACGCGCTAATGGGCCCCACCCAATTCCCTTTTAATTTATCAAATCCCTTTTATTTCAGTAATTAAACCGACCCTATTTCATTATTTCCTTTCCTACTCCCATTTTCTACGGTCCAAACTCACAATCCCCTCTTCGATTCCTTCCATAAAATCACCCCAATCATAATTTTCTCTTTAATCTATTGCAAAATCGGCTCTAACATAATGTAAAGAAGTATGTAATCTCTGTTTTTAGGGTTCGTTTTGTTCAATTTCAGCAGGGAGTTACAATCTAGGGTTTAATTTGATATTGTGGTGTTACAATCAAGGTCAGCGCATATGTATTATCTATTTATTCATCACAAACCAAGTCTAAAGGTTAGTTTTTTACTGTCTTCAATTGATTTTTGGTAGTTTATAGTTTTGTAAAAATATCGATCACTGTACAAAATTGTGATATTTTGATTTTGAAACTGAGGGGTTTGCATGTTGATTATGATACTTATACTTTGATTTTTTGTGTTTTTTAACTGATGTGTTCTTGGTGGTAAGTTTTTAGTGCTGCCCTATTTTCGGCAGAATAATTACTTTGATTGGGGATTTGTCTGAAATTATTTGTTCCCTTTTACTTGTATTCAGGTATGGGTGTGTTTATATTTGTTACTTTGAGATTGTTTCATGGTGGGGTCTTAGAGGTTGTACGTGGGGAACCAAGATATGTGGGTGGGGTAATGATAGAATATGTGAATGTTGATGTGGATACTTTATCTTATTTTGAGTTGGTGGACTATATTAAAGAATTGGGGTACAGTAGCAGCTGTACATTTAGTGTTAGGCCACCTAACTGTAGAATTATAGAAAATATAAACAATGATAGGGAGGTTTCAAGAATTGCACAGTTTTTGCAAAATGAAGCCATTTTGGAAGTATATCCAGCACATAGGTGTAGAAGAATCTGGTTCAGCTTTTAATAAAGGGGATGGGACCATTGAAGCAAGTGCTAGTCAAAACATTGAGGTTGGTGAGGAGGCTTTAAATGGTGCAACAGCTACTTCACCTACACCTACTGATTCAGCAGCTGATCCAGCAGCTTCTCCACCAAATCCAGATCCAGATTCATCCTCAACTGAGGAGGAATCTGATAAGTCAAGTGAAGATAGTTCAAGTGATGAAGACAGTGATTTTTTTGGTGATGACATAGATGATTATGGTAGTGATATACATGAAGAGTTCTTAGAGTTTAGGGCTGAGAGAAAATCTTTCCAGAGAAGAAAAAGAAAAGAAAGAGCTCCTGCTGATCCTGAAAATGTTCCATGTGGTGTAGCTGGGCCAGATTTGGGGTTT